CACTCGACGCCAAGCCGGCGTGGGAGTCCCTTCCCTTTGCCGACCGCGCCGCCGTCTTCCTCAAGGCAGCCGACCTCATCTCGACCAAGTACCGCTACGACATCATGGCGGCGACCATGCTCGGCCAGGGCAAAAACGCATGGCAAGCCGAGATTGACGCCGCCGCCGAGCTCGTCGACTTCCTGCGCTTCAACGTGCAATACGCGGAGGAGCTGTACGCGCAGCAGCCGGTGCACCACGCGACGGGCGTCTGGAACCGCGTCGAGTACCGCGCCCTCGAGGGCTTCGTCTACGCCGTCAGCCCCTTCAACTTCACTGCCATTGCTGGAAACCTGCCTGGCGCGCCAGCGCTGCTGGGCAACGTCGTCGTGTGGAAGCCAAGCGACTCGGCCATTGCGTCCAACTGGCTCCTCTACCAGATCCTGCTCGAGGCCGGCCTTCCCAAGAATGTCATTCAGTTTGTGCCAGGTGACCCAGTCGAGGTGACCAAGGTCGCACTGGCACACCAGAAATTTGCGGCCCTGCACTACACCGGCAGCACTGCCGTGTTCCGCAAGCTGTATGGTGAGATCGGGGCTGGTGTGGCCGAGGGCCGGTACCAGTCGTACCCGCGCATTGTCGGCGAGACGGGCGGCAAGAACTTCCACCTGCTGCACCCGTCTGCTGATGTTGACAATGCGGCGCTGCAGACGGTGCGCGGCGCTTTCGAGTACCAAGGACAGAAGTGCAGCGCCACGTCTCGTGCATATGTGCCCAAGTCGCTGTGGCCCCAGTTCAAGGCGCGTGTCGTGTCTGAGGTCGAGAAGCTGAAGCAGGGCGACCCCACAGAACACACCAACTTCCTCGGCCCCGTGATTCACGAGGCATCGTTCAAGAAGCTGTCTGGCGTCATCGATGCCGCCAAGAACGATTCGGAGCTCGAGCTGCTGGTGGGCGGCACACACGACAAGTCCAAGGGCTTCTTTGTGCAGCCAACAGTCTATGCCACAACGAACAAAGCGCACAAGCTCATGAGCACGGAGCTGTTTGGCCCGGTGCTGGTGGTGCACGTGTATGACGACAGCGGCAACGCGACGCAGGCCTTCTCGGAGACGTGCGCCCTTGTCGACTCGACGGGCGAGTACGGCTTGACGGGATCCGTTTTCGCGTCGGACCGTGAGGCGATTCGGTTCGCCGAGGAGAAGCTGCGCAACTCGGCAGGCAACTTCTACATCAACTGCAAGAGCACGGGTGCCGTGGTGGGACAGCAGCCGTTTGGCGGCAGCCGCGCGAGCGGAACCAACGACAAGGCGGGCAGCGCGGCCCTCATGGGCCGGTTCGTCAACATGCGCAGCATTAAGGAGGAGTTTGTGGCGACGACGCAGGTGGAATACCCCAGCAACGAAGCGTAGAGTCAGGGCCACGTAGAAAAAGCCATGTACGCGGTGATGAGATTTGTATGGATGGCGCTTTCAGCCCCGGACAGGGCTACGATTGGATTTTACTTGTACTGGATGGGACGTTCCGAGATTGCCTGGAGCTTCAGCTCTCAATTGATACCAATTCTGTTTACCTATGGTGTGTGCAGTCGGTGCTGTCACTTTTAAACTTCGTTGGGGATTTGTAGACGGAGGTGTTGATCGCGCAAACCAAGCCAAGAGAGAGGCCAGACAACACAAGCTTCATTGGCATGTGCATCCAACATGGCTCTCGCTCGTTGCTGCCCTTTCTTCGTCCCTATAGTTGATTATCTGGTTCCTCCGTCCCTACCTCATTTATGTGCCCATGCCACCTGCCAGAACAAGTCTTGGCGGCCTCCCCGTCCCTTGCCCTTGCCGTGCCCTGCCTTGCCCTGCCTTGCTCTTGTCCTGCCTTGCCTTGCCTTACCCTTTCCCGTCTCCCCTGTTCATCCATCAGGGTCATCCAAGGCCGCCAGTCCGCATTTGGGGGTCTGGGCACGAGAGGGTTTCCTCATTGGACAATCGCTCCAATCGAACGAAAGCCTTCAAGCTTCCTGGGGCCCCATTTATCGCGTCTAGCGCACCTTTCCTTATTCAAACACAACTCCATCAAATCATCAACATGAGCTCTGCTCACCAACAGGACCAATGCAATCAAGACGACCGTCGATACGACGAAGACTATCGCGTCAACACGAGTCATCACACGACATGCTCTCTAGATCACCCATCCTAGCGGCGTGCACGATCCGAGACCCTCCAATCCGCCAAGCAGACCCCAGTGCCCGCCCACGAGGGCAAGTGCTCTCCCCTCCCCCCCTTCGAACGAGTCAAAGCCGCCCAAACGACCCTAACCGGACAAGCCCATCGAGCACATGCTCAAACCTCTCGACGGCCGCTGCTCCCCCTCCCGGGGACAGGGTGCGGGACGAGGGGGGCGGTGCGCACTGCGTTCGAACCATATCGACGCTCCAGGGCAGCCCATGTGCTCGGGTCGTGGCTCCTGATTGGTCCGACCCGCGTGCGAGGTTGATGGTCGTTTTTGGCAGCCCGGTCGAGGTGTGTGGGCTGGGGGATTGGTTGTGGGAGGTTGTCGCGTGCCTTCCTGATTCCTGATGGGCGACCAAAGCAGATCGCCGCCAGACCATGTCTGGGCCATCCATTGAGGGGAGGGTAAATGGCCTTGAGTGCGGTGCGTGCGTGCTCGTGCCTGAGCATGCGCCTCGGTGGTGGCCCTGGGCAGCCCGCCGCGGTCCTCTGGGGTCTATCTTGACGTCCTTCCCACCCCCCCGGGGGGGGGGGGGGGATTTTTGTCCCCGGCGGCTTCTTGATCTCATGGTGGGCCTTCTTTTTGTCCCCGGCTCTTTTCCGTTGAGCTGCTAGGGGGGCCCAAATTCCCCTCTCCTGACGCCTAAAAAAACGTGGCGGCCCCCCAGATCTTTCCGATCAAGCTGGCGGTGAAAAACGTGGTTTCCGGGTCCTTCTTGGGCATTTCTTTTTGCAAATTTCTCCACCCCCCACCTCCCTCGTGTGTCGCTGCACCGAACACGGCAAACTTCAGCGACACCATCAAGATGCCGCGCCCAGCGTTCCTCCGACACCAGCCTCCTCCACCGACATTGAGGGCAAGGACGGCACAAAAAAGCTGGCGTCTCTCCAGCTGGCATTTGAGCTGCCTCCCCCCGCCATCGCTCGTGACCCCTCCAGCATCTCTCCCACCGACATGAGGACTTCGCCACCTAGTTTGCCGTCTGCTTCGTCTGGCCGGGCTTCCTATCCTATGCAGGTCGCCGAGGCCGTCAAGTCGCGGCGCCGTGCATCTTCGACAGCTCAAAAACCCGCCGCCAAGGAGGCCTTCACACTACCCCCACCACCGACTAGGTCACGAAAGATCATCCAGATGAAACCGAAGCAGGAGGAGCCCGAAGAGGATTCACCATCCGCCAAAAACACCACAGCTTCAAAGGCCGCAGCATCAAATGGGACTGCGGCGGCGACGTCGAAGAAGAAGCAGCCGTCTGCGACGAGCGCAGCTGGGCGGAAGATTGCGAGAAAGACGGCGCACAGCCTGATCGAGCGTTTCTTTTAGGTCCAAGATGAATGAGGAGTTTGCCGTGAAGGCATGATCCCGGCGTGTACGGGCGAGATGCACAAGTTGGCCATTCTCCAGGTCAGTCCCCCACGCTGATACGCGACGAGGCTGGCGAACTCTCCAACTGACATGTCGATCGCCAGGCTTTCCATTGAGTATGTCAGATATCTCGAGGACTGTGTGTCCAAACTCAAGGAGCAACGAGAGGCGCCCGATATGCAGACGCCTACCGAAGGTGGCCGTGACTTGTGGGCATCCATTCCCCAATTTGCCCCAACGTACCGTGAAGACCCTTCCGGCGATGTTGAAATGACCGGCTCTGAAGCCGCGTCGCCTCCGTTTGCTGCCCAGCCGTCCCGCTCGCATCAACCGTCCGTGTCGCCTGCCCTGCTAGCCGAAGACGCGAGGAACCGGAACCACTCGTACTCGTCCACGTCTACCGACCACAGGCACTACAGCTACAGCGCCTCCTCGGCCACCACATCACCGGCGTTCGGCCCCCAAATGTGCGACTACGGTCGCGCGGGTGGACCCTTGCAGCCACCATCGGCGCTGACGAGCCCCGCCCTTGCGCCGCAAAGGGAGCACCGTGACCTGGATCAGGAGGCGACGGCCGCCCTGCTCATGCTTAACAGCGACCGTCGGGGCACTGTCGGGAGTGGACATGGTCGCAGCAGTGCCACGGAAAGCCAGGGCACGGGGCGTGGCATGTCGGTGCGGGACCTCCTCAGCGCATGAATGGGGCCGTCTTCTGGGGTTGACCATCTGAACAACGAACGATCTCATCTTCCTCGCGTGTGA